TCGCTTGGGGCGTCGTTCTATATGCTATCATCGAATTACTTGAAGAAGTAATACATAAAGCGGCACGGTAACTCAAGTGGTAAGTTGACAGTCAGTGAGCAGCTTTCGGAGTACAGGACTCAACGTGCAAGTGGTAAAGGAAGATCTCTAGAACGGACTCGCTTTCGTCAAAAAGCTATGAATGTTTAAAAGCACACGAGTTCGAACGAAACATCCAAGTAAAATGAATTTCGCTTTTATTTAAAAATGTTTGACGAGTTTGGACTCAACAAGTGCCTAAAGGAACGCATCTCTTTGCTTCTGACCAAGCTTACGATACGGACGATAACGGCCAAGCGAGATCGATTCTCACAGCTCTAATATATCCTCATGGACGGATACGGATCCTAGCATCGGCGCTCATTGGAACGTATTAGATTAGAGTTACAAATCGGCTTGGAATTAATGATAGGCAATTAACATTTATGCGATATAGTTTCTATTGTTTTATCGCGTCCCGAATGTATGCGCGGTCTCCTTCAATACAACGTTCGTCATTACTGTCGAATCATTAGGGCTATGCAGATATCTAGCTTTGGTTAAACGTTTTGCGGAGTTTTTTTTCTTTTCGTTCCGATTGCGTTGCCGGTTTCTTCTACTACAACGGAAGCGGCAGCGACGGCGGCGGTAGCCAAGTCGTAGCGGTAGATTTTACCGACTGCAGCGACAGCCGAGTAACGATGAGATGATGGTAATAGCAGTCGCAGTTACAGTATAACTCAACAGTGTTTCGGCCGATATTGGAGGCCGGTCGAGGCAGGTAGTGGTGTCATACGCTGATTACGCTGGTCGTCCTTTTTGCCAGTAGCAGCATTCCAGGCGAGGAGGTCGCTCGCTGGGCGCTTCGTTGGTCTCCGCAATAATCCCAAAGTACGTGTAGTCAAAAACGTCTCCCATTAAGTCGAGCCAGGTCGAGCCGAGCCCTCGAGCTGTGGAGTCGAATTCAATAGCAGCGGTAAAAGCAGAATCAGCAGCAGCTGAGCGTCTGCCGCGTTTTCTGGTTCTTTCTCGTCTCCTCGTCATTCACTCGTTCACTATCTCGTTCAGTTGTTCGCTGTCATTGCTCGCCCTGCCGCTGCCACCGCCGTCGTCCATTCGCGTGTGTGTCGTTGCAGTAACGATCGTGATGTCGCTAAGCGTTATAAAGAGAACATAGCTATCCGGCATCAGTAGCAGAGTGGACATGAAAGCGTCTAACTACACTACATATGTAATCTCTTTCGAGGCGTCTAGCAAGCGACAACGAAACTGCTCTCTGTTGTAGAAGTGACTAAACTGAAGCGAGCCGACTTGCTTATGTCGCCCGTATCGCTTCTGTCGCGTGTGTCCTCACTGTCTACCCATCTACCTAGTTATTACTTACACCGATGATAATGGGGGCTGCGTGTAGCAGACGACGCCGCCCGCTGTAACAACAGTACTTGTCGCGGCAGTGGCGGCCTTTTTAATTTCAGTGACCGGAAGTATTTGCGACTATTTATAGTATGTAATCCCATAGCGCGGGGTATTTTGTCTCCATGTGCTGAAACTCCCCTCATTCATGGTTATGGAACTGACCGATTAATGTTCAGACAATTCACGTTGACTGCTACCGAATCTGCCAGTAACATTTTCTTGCGTTGACTATCTTGTAACTGAAACATTAGTCATACGACGCGAACGCATATATTCTAATCTAGTTAGGATTATTTGACAATGTTAGCGTCATTATGCCTTTTTCAAGATTATTACGAAAATAATTACTATTTCAGGAAATCCATGCTCGGGCAACCTAATACTAGGAAGGGTAATATAAATAAACTAGTACAAATGAGAACGATTTAATAAAAAGTATCAATTCCATAATACATGTATATATATATTTAGTTAATCATAGGGAAAGAGCGTTAGCCAGTGGTGAAAAGAGACGCAGTACGTCAAGCACTCAATGGTCAGCTCCCCTGGAATGCATCGCTCTGTCTGGGCTCCAGTTATTCAGCGCATTAACCACAAAGTATGGCTTCGCTAACGTATCTACTGCGCAAAAGAAAAGACTCTATCCAAAGCAGTAGTTATTTTGTCCCAAATTGCTATGTCATGTATAATATGTGCATATATATATATCACAAATGTTGTAGCATTAACAATTTCTCTATTTCTATTGCTGACTGATCGATGGCTGAATGAACGATTTATTTTTTTGCCTGAACATTCTTAGCCATTTCAAAAAGAATTGGAGTAACTCTTTTTTACGTACGACCTTATGGCTTGTGATATGTGGGGCTTAGCCCAACGGTTTGATCTATTTCCACCAAGACCTCTTTCTGCTGATTCTCAACTTCTCCCTTTTGCGTTACTCCGAACCAACCCGAATATTCAGTTAATATAATCGTACGAATGGTAAAAGGGAACGACTGGTATAGGCTGCAGATTCACTTTCTTGGCTCACTGGTCGGGTTTCTCGCCTCATCCTACTACGTGGACTATTCCTTCTCGTGTACTCTGTGAGAAAAGTATTAGCTAGAAGTTTGCTTGGCTATAGCCAGCGATAGTCTTGACACATTACAGTTGTTGTAAAAGCTTACTTTCTGCTGCATTAATTGTTTTTTTTAAAAACACGTAATTTTTCCGCACGTAATCAACGCTTTGCTGATTGCCATCTGGCTAGCATGCTCTGCTTGTGAAAGGCAGAACTTGCTATTGGCTCGTAAGTTTCAGCTTTTGAAATGTGGACATCTTTAGAAAGGAAATCGTATGCAAGCCAAGCAGTGTCCTAATATTATACATATTTAGGCCTTGGGTATTATTTACAGTATTATTCTTGCGGGCATTTGAACAACATGGGCTCCAGTTAGGTAAAGGTGCTAACCAAAATGTTGTTTTGCAGAAAAACCTACTTGCTCACTTGCAAGGTCGATTGAACCGGCCAAGTGGGTTAAAACTATAAACAAATTTACGTGTCGTTAATGCCCGTATCATCGTTCCAGTCAGAGGCAGCTTTGTACCTTTTTTAGTGTGGGCTCTAAAAATTGAACAATATTTGCTATACACGGATTTTCGGTGGCATAAAATTAATACATACGTCGTCACGCAAGATACCAACATAAAAAGAACCAAAACACTTTCTAAAAAATAGAAAGCCGATCTTGAAACGAATTTATTGGCCAAGAAAGAAATATCCTCTTGACCGAATATTAAAGGCCGGGTGTAATGACATTTTGCCTAAAGTTCTGTTCTAAAACCATAGGCCGGACAAGGACTTTTTTGGAAGTGTCGGTACCATTTAAGAGTACAGCCGCTTGCAAAAAGCGCGCAGCGCTACGTAACGCCTTCCAAGTCCCAGCCCTGCGCTTCAAAATGTAGAAGAAAACGTATGACATTGCTCCATTAAAAAAAAAGCATTGTCAAAAAGATATTTATCCTCGAAAAAGTACCCCTCCTGAACATCTGTTACCATTGAGATTAATAGAATAGTAATTTCTGTATATGAAGAAAGTGAAATGAAAAATAATTAATTTCTCGACTAATAAAGATGTACACTAAATAGAGAATAAATAGAAATAGTTGTAATAGCATGAATATTACGAGTTAATCAGCTATTACAACGATCCCGAATGATATTAAAAAACGTAAGAAAAGGCAACTCTTTTATCACTGCAAAAATGTATAGCTAAAAGTAAACCAGACAGAACGTGAATAACTAAAAATAATTTTAATAAAGATCAAACATTTGACATATAATTAATATTTGAAGCAGATGGCAGATCTGCTAAAGCTGCTGCGCATATATATGACAAAATCATACATGTGTTTTTGAAACACCATTCTACTTATTGCCCTTGCTCTTCGGCGTTAACTGTTTTCTGACACGTCTCACGCAGTGTTAACGCAATTCCAAACCCCTAAATTCGACCCGTTTAAGCTGTTTATGTTCCCTAACTTGTATGTTCATCAGTTTTCTGTTAAACTTTTCCATGCCGTTGCTATAGAAAATCTATATAATCGAATGCCCTTATCGTGACGACGCTCTGGAATCTTTCCGTCATTTGCTATATTTAACTGGTTAAGAAGACGATCTCTTGCGGCTTACAGTTCTATGTGAACTAGCCTTTCCTACGTGTGCTCTGCGCTCATCGCTTAATTATAGCATGACAATTAATTTGGCTTGCCAGCTTTTAGTACTGACTGGGTGATTACATAAAAAATTAGATAAAGACTCGGTGATCTTCGATGAGCGTTACTGACTACGAACTCAAGACAGCGAGGACGACGCAGTCGGTCGTTGGGTGGTAATCTGATGAGCAAGATGCTGGGAGCTTAGATGTGGAATGAGGACGTCACACAGATACCCGCGCTAACTAAAATAACTGCTTTATGGCCCGGTTGCCTGCCTCATCTATTTGCTTTGAAGAAGAATATCTCTTGACAAATTTGCAGACTCCTCAATTCTCGCAACCAAATGGCAGAGGGGCAAGTTAGCGTGGCTCTTGATGCCCAGTAGGTCGTCAAGCGCGTCTATATGTTTCTGATTGTAGCTTGAAAAGTCGCACCGCCCAACGCCATAGGGGTAGGACCCTTAAAATTCTCGATTTTAAGCCTTATACATCATGTATGTGAGCTTGCATCGCGTGCTTATAACGTGCCAATAACAAACTGCTACTATGTTTCGCCTAGATAATTCTGTTCGAGTTTGGTTAGCTAGCAACATAAATATTGCTGATAAATGATACCCGTGAAACATGCAATAGTTTACTGATCATTACCGAAGTGAAGTCAGCGGAGTTACCAACTTAAGTTATCAATAGGCAGCTTTAAGATTAGTGATATTGCTCAATAACGATACATTTCTTCGATGCTGCACCTAAGGCGCTTCCGGCCAATTTGCGCCACTTTTCCCCACGTTCAAAAGCTTTAGAAAACTCTTTTGAAAGCGACAGTTTCTTTATTTAATCATACCTTGTTATAGTTAATGTATACAGCATACGCGATGTCATTTCCAGAGTCTATTTCTTACATAAGTTTGAATAAGCGAATGCGTTGGAATAAAGTGACATAAACCACTTAAGCTAGAAGTTGCTTGCCGTGACGGTTATCCTTCGGAATACCGGAAGAGCGAAGAACAAATCGTAATAAAAAGTAGAACCATATCCGTCACGAAGCAAGTGAAGTGAGATAACTGTAGAAAGAAGATAAGGCAATTGTAACAACGTAATTATTAAGTGGGCAATATGTTTACGGGAAAGAACTAGCCAGATGGCATAAATTACAAACAATAGCATTTAACGGTGGACGCTAAGAAGTTGCCCTAACATTTCTAAATTATAACTTAAACCAATTTTCTGTTAAATAGATATAAAGCGGGGACCTAGATGATAGGTATGGACGGACCCCAGTCGTATGTCAGTGATCGTATTCCTGTGAAAGCTTGCAGAGCGATGGTAAAGTTTAACTCAAACCTCTAACATAGGATCACTCCATTTTCATCGTTCTGTGGTACCTAACCTAATAAATGGTCAGCTTTTGGGTTGCCGACATATACAAAGTCTCCTAAAAATGTATATGCAACCTAAATGATTACAAGTTAAATTAAACTAATTTATTTATTATATTAGTTTATGAATAAATCTACATAAAATGTACATCTCTCTTTCCTGCTGCAGTTGTTTAAAATTAATATTGTTCTGGTTAATAGACTTAATAGACTAATAATGAACTATTAATTTTCAAACTTCTAAAATCTTCCAAACCTTCGGTTTTCTGGCGTAGAGTTTTTCTTTAGGGTAAGAAAAGTTAATTGTCGTCACGTCTGGAATACGGGCAGGGCATTTATGGAGTTGTTCACTCGATCATCCATCCATTTAGAAGATAAGCTTTTAGATCACGATGATGATGTGGTGGTGTTTTGTCCTGCTGTAAATAAAATTCACCCAGGGTCTTTTGAATGCGTGAGAAACATTGATTTTATAATAAATTCGGTATTGTCAAAAAATGATGGTATAATGAAATTAGAGTGTATACATTTTTGAGAACGACTATATATATATATATATATATATATATATATATAGAAAGAAGAAAAAGATGCAAATAGACGCCATTGCCACTATTTGCGTCTTTTTTATGTCGTTCCGTTTGCGTTTTCCATTCAATGTGTTTGCCCATAATTATTTCATATCGACTGCAGAGTAACACCGATTGGCCACTACCAACTTAGTTTGTTACCGCCTGAATATGGCCTGCCATCCCATATCCTATCTGTCATTTTTGTCTCTGCTTACGAGAAAAAGCCGAAAGTTGTAAACTAACCCCTAGAAGACGCGGTGTTCGAACAACGCTGAGAGTCCCAATTGTGGTGCTTATGTGTGTATCTGTTTGCGTGTGTGTCTATCTATGTGTGTACGATTAATCAGAGGAATCTGATAAACAAAGTCAGTATTTTTTCTGCTATTCGTAGCAAATAAACACGTAAGATATTCTCAAAGAAGTCAAAGCCTACGTAACTGTGAAATGCATAGGGATCCATTAGGGAATCAATTTCGAATGAGAAAAATCAGGAGTCGAAAAATCGCGTTTTGTTTAGTTAATTTAAAATACCTCGTATCTATTTCAAAATAAACAAAAATAGCTAATTTTTTGCTTTACGTATGAAATTCCAAGTGAAGATATACATATATTTTAATGTAATAACGTTCTTATTAGTTTTTGATTTTTTTTAATTATTATGGTTTCGGCTAGAATCGGAATCCTTAAGAATTGGACTTCGAATCTTTTCTGACGCAAAAAAATCAGCGGTTGATTTCAAAAGAGAAATGCTACTTAGATAATAACATGTCGGTGTTGTCTGCTCGGTATCTTTATCAAGCTTACGCCACAGTTTTTATGCCTAGTTGCTCGCACGCTCTATAGAGTGGGAACCTTACTTCTTGGGCAAATAGGTACAAAAAAACACTGACATTTCTATACATCAAACGTTAGAACCTAACTATGATTCGTAGCCACCCTTAATATGTGCATATTAGCAAACAGTTATTACTACCACCCTTATTTTGCGCGGATTGCTGGAGCACTGAAAAGCGGGAAATACCGGTCGACCAAAAATAAGTTTTATGCAAATGGGTTTCCAGCTATATATTGTTGAACTTAAAACAATGGCCAGACTAACCTAAGCCAGTCATGTTTTCATACTAGAAAACGGTCATATGTCCCTGAAGGTTTCACGTCAATAAGCAAATATTTTGCAAATAAATTAAAAAAGTTTTGAAATTAGCAGTAACTATAGACTGTAACTATATACTTGAATCCTCTGCTTCGATCCTTTTGCCGAGTTTCCCAATTTCATGGACAGCGCCTCTAAGTTTCTGAGCATTTAATAGTCTATCGATTATAATTATTCTTATATGTGTACATTGTTTCAAAACGACATGCCGACTTATGTGCGATTGTATGTTTCTACGTTAATGCACGTGCGTGTATGTGGCGTCATTTCAACGTATGATACGAACGATATTTATTGTACTGTACGCTGCAAATGGATAACCCTCAAGATACTAACATGTATTCTGCTCGGTAGATGTGAGTAATAGCTGAAATTTCCGAGCAAATATAACTCTACACAGATCGGCCGAAAAGACAGAAAAGAAAGCCAAAGTCAGAGAGACCACACATCCGATTTGTGAGTGGGTCAGCGAGAAGATCAAGTCGGCTTAGCTACAGTCGCGCGTAATTTAGCTTGTTCGCTGTTGTCGCCGCCGCCGCCCCCGCTGCTGAGCCTATGACAGCAACGAAACTAAGCGAAACGCGATCAGTCTGGAAATGCCGTTTCTTTAAAACCGTACCATGGCTGCCGACATCAAGATGACAACAGACGACGGCCACACTTCTACGGTGGCGACAGCCAACAGCGGTCCCGTTCGCTATTGTTGTTTACGACCGAATCGTCAAACGCGCGATCGAGCTGCAGGGGCAACAGCGATGGGCCGATAGAGTGTCCGCCCCAGCGGCCGCTTACATCGAGACAACCATCGAAATCGCTGCTGCTAAATGGCTGTGTCCTTAATGTTGCTGTTTATTAATGTTTTGATGTTGTCGACTGCATGAGCCTGCTGACTGCCTGTCAGATATCGAGTGCGTTATAGACCCTCCATTGCTTCGGCTCGGTTCGAATCAGTCAAATAACTCAGCGAAAAAAAATGATATGCTGTCGCCATCGTCAATGGCTTTCATATCGATCTATCAGCCAAATACGAAGCTCCTAGAAGTAGAGCTATTACAAGGACATCTTTAGGGAGTAGAACATTTTTGTTTAAGAAAGACAAAAAAAATTCAAAAAAGACGATATATAAAATTTGGAATATATTTCCAGCTTTCTCGCTATCTTCCATAAATCTTGCACTGCTTAGCTTGTCTCTACATAGAAGTGGAGGCAACCCATAGTCGCAGGTTGTGTTGTCTGTTTCGTATTCATCTTTGAAAGAGAAAAATTATTTCATCAGTATCATTTCAATGAAACTTCTTACTCTTAGGAAGTTAAAGCAATGTGTCCAATTTTTTTTATTAGATCGAGTGAGAGAATATTGCAGTTACACTGATCAGCCTTATCTACTGTTAAGTTTGTTAAAAAAAAATAGTTAAGGACTACAAAGAGACGTGTTATGAGTGGTTATGACGGAATTAGTTATCTTCAGATGACAATTGGAAAGCCCTTAAAAAATCAAAATACGTGTGCGTAAATATATATATTTATAATTTACATGCAACGTTAAGACGCATTGCAATGAGAGGCTTTTACCAAATGGCGTCTAAGTTACCTGGATCGATCTGGATACAATCTGTCGATTCTGTGTATGACTGGTTGCCTATCAAACATGAAACAGCTAACTCTATAAGTTACGTGTACTTATATTATTATTATATTAAGACTTGATTTTGGAAACAATTCATCTATATGAATTGCACCCTTTAATTAAAACATTCAGTGGGAAACTTTTTCAATAAATTTACGCCGTAGGCTAGTTTTGTAAAGTGTGGACTCTGACTGTTCGTTAAAGACCTCATCTCTTCAAACCGAAACTTTATTGATCTGTTTAGAATGGCAACAAAAGAGCCATTAGAAAAACACAATTGTCGAATTCTAATTAGAAATTAAGTTTTAATATGTTTTATGTTAACCACGTTCATTAGGTGTTCGATATAAAAACTGCATGCTATTGCACGTACAACTGCCTGAGGATATCGGCCTCAACTCTTACGTGTGTCCCTAATCTATTTATACAGAAGATAGTTATGTTACGCACACAAACATTTATATACGGATAGCGAAAGACAGGAGCGATTACGATTTATTGATTAAAATGTAGTAATATATTTAAAAATAGCACGTTACTCCAAGTAGGAGCTAGGAAAAATAGTTTCTACGGTACTTAAAATGTAGGTGACAACGCTAACCTCACTCATGGACCGGATATACGTAAAAGCTCGAGAATAAAATATGGTAATAAATAATAATTATTATTACATAATAATAACTTTTAATTACGTAAATAATAATTACTAAAAGAATGAACTGAGTAACGGAGAATGGATCTGAGCTGTGTGACATCTCTGATTTGAAATTTCATAAATTCAGTAACCATTTAATCGAAAAAATACATAGCATCTATATGTACAGATAATACGTTTCCGTGATTGTTTCAGTATAAAGTCTAGTTAAATATTTTCTACCCATGTAGCACCATTGGTCGACACCATGGATGCAACGTAGAGCTAAGTATATATATCTGCTTATTTGACAAGTTTACTCAATATAAATACCGTATACCGCGATTAAATCAGGCGAAAGTCTCCAGGCGAAAATACAAGAACTCAAAACAGCCAGAGAATTATGTCAAGAACCCGATTGGCAATTAACATTCTCGTCTCTAAAGCGGCCGTTAATTTCTACATCAAAAGCCTAGGTGTACCAAATAAAACTTTCGTGACGTTTTCTTATTTCCAAATTCTTTAAATCAAAACTTCATTGTAGGTCTTGTTGTTTGTCTTATTATAGTCTTCTTCGGCCTTTTCAGAACCCACATGAAAACTGGCAATAACGTAAACCTTCGATCTCCGACAAGAAACGATGTTTTCAGTCTTGGCTGGGATATGCCCACTGCTGAAAGATTGGATAACAACACATCATTGCTCAAATTCAGGAAACTATATGGTGTTTTTTGCCGTGACGAGTTTTTTGTGTTATTCTACAAGAATTTGGCTTTTGTTTGCCACTAGATGTCGCTGTCACGATACTTTTACCCCATTGTGTATATATATATATATATAGGTATATACATATGTACCTTTTTCATATTCCAAACATTAAGAAGTACGTTATGAAGTTGATACTAATCAAAATAGCAATCTGATTACTATTGTTAAGTTAAAAATCTTGTGTAGATTACAGGGATGTCCAGAAGAACTGCACGAATAAGTTAGAGATGTATCAACTCGAAGAACGTCTTATGCCTTTTTGACCTAAACAGAAAGGAGTCCAGTGGTTGCCGATAAGCCCTAGTACATAACTAGGTCTGGATAGCTTGAAATATCCGCAAAAACTCACGCAAAACTAGAAGAAAAAAGGTTCTTTTTTTAGTTTTGCTGAATACTGACTTTATCTTAAGCAGATAAACTTAAAAGCAAGTAAACTAAAGCAAATAAATGTTGTTAAACTGAAGCATTAAAATGCTTGACGATGATAGACGTAACAACCACAGCATCTATGTATATATATGACATTGAAGCTGTTTATTGACAGAAGAACAATACTAATTTGTAGCTAGTACATCGATAAGCAATTTGCTCATTTAACTTACTCATACTTGAAAATTATATTCGAAATTTGATCTGGCTACATGTGGCATAATGTCAGCATTTCCTTTCCCCAATCCATTCTTGCAACAATTATAAACAGATAGCCAATACATATATATTATGACATCTGCACAAAACTTATCATAGGCACTGCATATATTTATACATTGAATGTGCGTTGATAGGTTTTCTCAGGCGAGCCTATGCTGCGTTCTGTGCGCCTTCGAAAGTTATCTTCGAACTCGAAAGAATCTTAAACTTCTAATAATTTTCATACGAACGACTGCCGAAATCTAAGTGATAGTGACAACGCTATATAAGTGCTGTTCGTTGACAGGCAAACTTGCTTAAATGAATAGATATGTTGGTTTTAATTAGACTAATTTCACATATAGGCAAATAATATTACGTTTAAGATATAGATTCAATCAAAATTTCTAAGTACGTCTTCACCATTTCCCCCTGTACGTTTGGAATGGTCTCTGTGAATACCTGTACCAATAAGAACGAGCTTAATTTGGGATACATTATATATATACATATGTATCTTTTTCAATAACTGTAATGTACATGGTAATAACCTTTATATAATTCGGGAGTTTTTTTTTTGGTACACAGTTCTTTCACAGGCAGCGTAAGGCGACAAGTCCGACTTCAATTTGTTAGGCTTTACGCCCGAATTTACAATACAATGTAAGTCCACCTTCATTTGGGCCAAACCGATAGATTTTTTTTGCCATTTTGATAATAATAACTCTATAATAAAAGCGAGATATTTATTTCGCATGTCAGTTTTAATGTATAAATAGTTACTAGGGGTACGGAAATAGCATGTTGAAGATATGACGGACAGGAAAAACGTGTTTGTACAACCCAGACCTCATCCGGGCTGTAAACTTTTTTTTACTTCAGGCACACCTAGCCAAGTAAAACAAAAAAAAAAAAGCTGACGTGTATAATGTATATAATGGTCACGTTGTCTCAGGGTACAATCATTAGCTGCATATTATTTAAGACGAACAATTATAACAACGAGTTTGCTATATACGTAAAACAATAAACTGTTTACGCAAAACACTTATATACAATGCTGTTTTTAGGTTACGGACTGTTTCATCAATAGATGAAACAGTCCGTAACCTTAAAGTCCGTAGTAGTCATTATAAGTTATCGTTTTAGTAAATTATGGCTTTCGATAAAAGTACATGTCAATTTTTCAACCCCTGCTTACCCCGAAATTTTGAATATCTTTGACTTGCCGTGATATGAAATTATTTTGAGTTTAGAATATTCCTTACGCATTCGCATATCCATGCAGTCATGCAAGTTACCTGAAACAAGTGTAAGTTGGGGTGGTTTAAGTTCGCATCGCAGTCGCCTGATAAAACTGGTTCGTACAACCTCTGTGCGTCTGTTAAGCTAGTTCAGTTTCACAGCAATACGCCATCTTAGTAGTGGCTAAACTCTTACAGAGACTGATATGAAATTCCGGCACGAAACGCGAAAAATTGAGTTGCAAACAAGAGGAGTGAAGTGAACAAATTATTAAATCTGAGTAATATATGGTAAAGTCCAACTTCGGTCATAGCACAACATCGACGGTTAGATTTCGGTTCGAGCAAGCAGTACATTACTTCAGAATATTACTTATCAGGGTACGGCGTCTATGCAAGCAAGCTGGCCTTGCAGTGTTCGTTGTACTGCCTAAGTCTCGGACTTTTTCTGTAGGTTCTAAGTACCCCCGATGTTCAACCTAGATCGCCTCGAGCTATGTGTACATAGAGCACCTAAAAAGTAAAGCAGTTCTATGATATACTATGAGGCAATAACGTCCTCGAAAATGGCACTCTTCTGTTCCGTACTCTCTGTAAGTAAATGACTCTATAATAGTGCGTTAATAAACACAGCAAAAAAAAATTCACAACAGATTTTGCGAACAAAGCACCTACATGGACCTTCGAAGGGTCGACGCGACCTAGGTACAGTCCATTCGTAGACGGAAAATCAAGCAAATTCGATTACATACCTTCCACAATCCAATACAGAAATTTAACTCTCCGTAGAAAATGTAAAAAAAATATTTAGCTAAAGTTAATCATTCTCATAAAGAAGCTGTTGCATATGCAAAGTACTAACTATTATTTTTAACTAGAGCGTGGTATTCATTGGTTGTTGATGTACTTGCCTAGCTACTACCCAAACATTTGTAGACGAAAGCAGTATGACACTTCATGAAGGAAAAATAAATCTATCTCATCAACGCAATTATGTTTCCATCGTTTTTGTTAGTGTATCAAGCGCACAGCCATGTTGTACATTCATATTTATCTCACCGTAGGCCTTTCGGCGCATCGCGAAATACTAATAAAAAAAAAAACAAAAAAAAAAAGGCTTCGAAATTTGAGATAACATTATAAAACTTATCTAATAAAATGGTACAAGTGGTGAAAGTGTATTTCAGTAGGGTTACTGAGACTGGCTCACAATCTAAAAAGGTTAGCATTGTTTAGATAGAAACGTCCTCAGCTGTAAAGGTCTGATAACATTGTCTGCCTACGTATGATGGTTCAAATTGGCTGGTTATTTTAGCGTATGGACTGTTTGGTACTAGGATCTAAGTAACTAATAGAACGGCAAACAGGGTAGTCTACAATCGCTATTCTAGCTATCATTGATAGAATACGTGACACGTATAAACTAGGCAAATTCACTGTCAAATGTATTGTAATTTATTTTACTATCTGTTTTAGATGGCTAAATAATCAATTAAAATCTTATATCGAAGCTGAGGATTTGCTAGCTAGACTAAAAAAAAAAATGAAAATATACAATAATTATTTAATGTGTGTGTGTGTTGTATAGATATTTAATTATTCCTCCAACAGAAAAGTTGGACTGCAGTAAAATCGTTTAATGTGTACGTTGCAATAATTTCCGAAAAGAAGAAACCCAAAGCCCATTTTTTGTGCGAGGTGCATCCAATGCTAATGCACCTCGCGACAAATGGTCTGACGCAGATTTTTACCACGGTTGATTTACAGCATCTGTTGTAGGTAATCACCTGCTGCTTCATTGTGGCAGCTCAAGCTACCACAGAATATCAACAAATGACTTTAGAAATTCTAGATTTACTCATGTCTCGGCCCCATTACATACGTAGAGCAGGTAATTTACAAACTAAAATAGGGTTGATTGAAGAAAATATATCCGCTAGAGCTAATATTTATAGGGTGAAAGAGGTTCTTCCAACTAACTTTTATAGAAAGTTTTCTTTCAAATCAAGAAACGGCTCTCATTCAGTAAAGGTTTAATTACACTCCCGTTGAACTTGTCGACGCATGCGTTCGTACGGATATTTACGGTAACCGCTTGCCAAACTCGCTGATGTGTTGTCGTAATGTAGTGCAGGCTAGTTTCCATTATACGAAACCTTCTAACGAATGAATCGATGTGTCGTTAATCCTCAATGCGACCAGAGTGCCGATCAGAATACATGTTAGAGACGAAAAAGATAGATATAGAAAGATAGCTCTAACTGTTGTAACAGTAATCCAATGAACAATTAAACTCACGTTTAAGTATGTCAACCTGTGTCCTATAAGGGATTTTACAGTGAGCCCCCCTCCGCCAGCTGAAGAATACATGACCCATTAGGATTATGATAGATCCGGCCGAAACGTTCGCTAAAGGCAACAGGAAGTGCTTCAGGCATTACCTGGACATTTGGAAACACGTTATCACTTAGACGAATCGCTCAAAGTGGGATTATCCACTCGATTATAGATTAAGTACATAACTAGCAGTTAACTTATATCTGTTTACTATTTCTACTGCTCGCTAACCTTGTTTATCAACATTGGGACGTGCATGTATCGCTAGGCAACATCTTACAGTTTGCGTGCATTTTATATAGGGGCTCGTGTATAGCACCTAACGGGCACGAGCCACTAACATAAACACTTCTCTGTCGCAGTCTTTGTTGGAGGTAATTTCGTTATGATTTTTTGTTAAAGGAACATTTATTTACTTAACTGTATTGTACATACTTTAAAGCAACGTCCGTGTTGCGGCCTTCAGCCGGTAATCACAATTTGTCATCAGAATCGGAAAAGACTTCATTCAACAAGCGATCTTGCTTCGTCTACTACATGCGCTCTATGCGTAGTACTAATACGGTGAGTCTGCAACCTGAAAACCGTCGCCCGAAGTCGGTAGCGAATTAAAAATCACCCTCAATAGTCAATGATAACGCGACGCTACTTGATGCATAACCGTACATCACCATTAAGCAGTGTTATATCTGCATTCGTTATTTCGGCCCTTGATACTTTGGACAGTGGTTGTTTTTTTGTTTTCGATATAACCGGCGTGTTTGTCGAATACCGCCCGCTTCGTTGATATTTTCTACCTGTTTTGGCCGTGATCAGGCCTGACCAGGCCAACGGCGGGTGGTCAAAGAGAACTACGAAGACAAAACGAACGATTCAGGAGCCAAGGAGGCTGAGAAGTCAATAAAGATCCAACAGTCAAGTAGCATTAGGAGACCTGACAAAATCTAATGATCCGGGAGAAGACGACCGCTAAAAGGGATCCAGCGGCCAGCGTTTAACCCACGGGTTAGAAAAACACATCGTTCGTAAAGCATGTACCGCTATTACGTGTTTAAAGCAATGTTAAAAATAGTGCACATTGCAGTTCCTCAGTGAGCAGATAACTTGTTTAGTTTAATAAATGACTTAAATATTAATTTACACATAGCACTTTTAAGTTATTGGAGAAAGCCTTTATCATCCAGCTACAAATGAGGTTTAAATAATCATGGACTTTGACTTCCTTAGCTCAAAATCGACCCTGGACATCGCTCACAGATACAATTAAGCATTCAAATTTTGCGGTATTTATGTGACCTATCTTACTGAGATACCAGTTCAAACTCGCAATACGTGCAGCGCTGAATAGTGGTTACCAAATCTTTGTTTTGTTTATTGAAACAGACACGGCCCTAAGATGGCAGTAAGCGCTTTTACGGGTCCTTTTCGGTTTGTTTTTTTTTTTTGATGCTGATTCAAGTAAATTATACAAGCCTGACTCTGATTAGCGCATTTCAAAAAGATTTCCAAACAATTTAAATTCGACTCGTTGCATAAATGAAACTTACTAAATTTAATACCTTCAATAATATAGAGAAAACTGCGATTTTTCATCTTTAGATCACAGATCCGAGTTAAGTGAACAGAATTCGCTGTATGTAATTTTCTATTTTCTGTGATATCGCTAGCATTGGACGTTACCAGTGTGTTGTCAGTTCTGGCGTCATAGCAATGGCGTATACGTAGGAACGCCTTAAACATTATGACCCGTCACGCCTGCGAGGTGAAGGTGAGCTACTAGAGTAGATCTTTGCTTATCTGGATGAACTAGAGGGCTGTTGAAGAACAGTGTACAGCTTATTTCATTCTAGCCGGCAAACAAGCAAGAAGAAACGATGAATCTATCGGCTTGGATCGGCGCTGGCTGACTTGTGTCAGGTAACGATGCTCATTATCTTCGCGCCGATAATCACATGTTAGACACCTATTGTTAATATTCGTTAGTTGGTTTTTACAATCTAAACACAAAATACACTAAAATACCCTAATCAAAACAGAGAGACCTCTATGAGTCGTTTAGATATTTCAACGAAGATAAACCGATAATAATAGACAAAGTTTAATATTTACTATGCTATATAGAGTCGCACAATATACTTAGCAAATGTTTTTTAACAGCTTGACAAAAATTATTATTATTATTAGTTATTTGAAGATTCCATGCGCATTGGATTTTCTTAATGCGTTGGCTTAGCCGGCCAAGGCTCTAGTTAGGAAGGCCGAACGAGTGTCGCGCACATCTGCTGTCGACGCATACGCGAGATGCACAACCAATAGACCGAGCTTCAAATATGTCATTTAATTTTATGCCTTTTTCCCGCGTACCCGATTCAACCGTTGGAAAAAGTACAGGCCGAAGTACAGCAGTAGACTATAGGCAAGTTAAGAAGCTATCTGTAATTTAGGAGAAATAATATGACACCTAAAAAGACGGAAGTATGGCGTATCATCTACGCTAAAACTTCTTTAGCCTTCCGGTGGCTCCGTCGTCATTATCTAATGTCGTGTCCATGGAATTCTGCCAGGAATTGAGGTGAAATGACCGGCATTGCTGTCGTCTCCTTCGTCATCTCCGGTTTGCCAACACAAAATAAAGACGAAACACTCCGTTTGTTAAGCAGTTCTCTTAGTTATTTCCTGCAGCGACCTTAGCAGTCGAAATGAACATATATCACGCTATTCCTCTTTGCACATGCAACGCGCATAAACATGTAAACTTATACACATCTACAGTTACCTAGCCACGAAAGTGGGCGGAACGTTTGTCATATTTACAGAGGTACCATTTTTTATTTTATTAACAATCTTCAAGAAACAGAAAAATCACATGTCGACGAAAATGGACAGAAGGCTCGGCATACCCCAAAGCCAATGTCAATGGAAACGATAGTAGAAGTGGGGGATGAAACGCCATATTTTTTCATTCGTTCACAGGCAATAAAGGCAGTGGACAGCGTTCGATTTCTCGATTGTCCATACCATAATGTGACTAAGACCCTTAATGACCGTCTGCGTTTCCTTAAAAAATGTATGATATCGGTTTGCCCTAATCTTTATGTAACGAATACTCAACCAGTTAATCACAGCAGCATCTACATTGTGATTGAATGTGGTGGCAATCGCTGGCATTGGAATTGTATCATCTATTAGATGACAGATCGCCACCAAGAACATACCGTACGACATTCATGCATTGCCAAATACGAAGAAATTTATAGCGTGTTGAAAGTGACTAAATTAGCAGCTCTGCGTATTGTTATTGCGGCAACCCGAAGTTAAATAGACACCACTGTAATAGTACTACGATTTATTGTACAGGTGCTCGATTTCGATCGATCATTATTTGGGGGCAATCCAACGTATGCGTAATAGGGAAGCGACGTTCAAAAACCGGTTTCTAGCCAAACAGCTTTCGCTGTCTTCGCTGCCGTATTGAAGGTGAGAGAGCTGGTTTAAACCCTTGCCACATGACGGCCTTCATGTGGATCGTGACTTTGAATATAGCTACACGGATCGCATTCTGCAGTTGGTGAGTCCAGCTAACTAATCGGGGCAGGTTGGCTCTTCATAGCAGCACATTACTATCCCTGTCATCAACTTCTTCATCCATTAAGAACATCGTACACGTCAGTGTTTTGTCACTCGTGGCGTTATTCAGTGTCTGAGTGTGCGCACATCCTGGTTGAATCCGGCGACATGAAATACACCGCAATGCTATTACTAGCTAGTGCTGCTTACGGTCAGCATCACTACGGTCGCTCCTATAAAGGCGGAGTTCAGACCCTACAGTCCTCTCCGTTACCGCCACACGGTTACGTTTCACCGTCAGCTCTTCGTGAGAGGAGTGAACCCCCGAAACCATTCGCGTACAAGTATGAGGGCCCCGACCCTTACGGCGGCTACTCCAGTCACGAATCGCAAGGGGATGAGTATGGTCGCATTACCGGTCAGTATACTGTGCAAAATCCCGATGGAACTTCCCGACTAGTGAAGTACATTGCCGACCCCGAATTGGGCTTCCATGCCGAAGTAGACACTGATGAAACGGGAACAAAAACATCAGAGCCTGCTGGTGCCCTAATTAGGTCTTCGGCACCCGAAGAAGATTATAACCCGCAAGTTAGACAGATGGGTTACGGTGCACGTGCGCCTGCCCCCTATACTGCTCCAGTTTATAAAAGTGCTCCGCACTTAAGGCCACCTGCCTCTGGACGCCCAGGTGCTTACGGGGTCACACCCTCCGTTGGAGGCTCTCTCAAAAACTATCATTCTGGCTCGCAATACAGCGTTTCCGGCGCATTCAAAGCCCCGGCCCCCTATAAGGCTTCAGCTACTTACAATGCTGCCCCTACCTATGGGGCTTCGGCTACTTACAACACAGCAGGCTCATATAGAGCTCCAGCCGCTTATGGAGCACCAGTCCGGTATGGTTCCTCTGGAACCTACAGAGGTACATCCAACTATGGAACCTACAAAGCTGCAGCATCTTATCGGATCCCAGCTGTACAGGAAGCCCCTAGACCTACTTCATACTCTCATCGCCAATTAGCTGCCCCTAGTAAAAGATCATATTATTAATTATAAAATCAATACGGACTGTGCTGTAGAGGCCTTAAAAAGTGAGATATTAGACTTGCGAATATTCAGGAAGTGATTATCATGCATAAAAGCTTCACCGATGTATCTTTGTTTCAACAAATACGCTAAAAATGCAACCATCGGCTGCTTGTATTAGTTGAATAAATAGGTCGTGAGGGTCCGCTATATTAAAGAACCTTGGATTAACAAAATATATTATAAAAATACATTTTAAATTATAAATATAATTATAAATAAGAAATAAATTATATATAAAAGTAAATATAAAAACCGGTGTCATTTTTATTGCAGCCTGGGTACAAGGTCTAATAGTAATTAACTTTTCTTTGTATTTTATTATTTTTTATTTCTATTTGTGTGATTTAATTGTATGTAACAGCCAGTCTTAATACGAAATCGGCTTTAAATTAATAGACACAGGAGATGAATTCTCGCATCCATGTACATCTACGTATGATATAATTATTCTCGTCTATTTATCTCCGATTTCTGTATTATCGCCTGGCTAATGAATATATAAAACTGGCTGTTTAAATTCCAAGCAGAATTAAATAAAACGAGGCTACGAAACGCTAAGTATATAATCGCGCAAGTGTCTTTGAGCATCATTCAGCCAATGGCGATATTTGCTCCGACTCAACGCCATTGGCGGCCCAAAATCGCGCCAACCCGTAAATATTGCTTCTCATTACTGCTACGTTTTACCGAAAAGCGAGGAACAGGCTGGAATGCAAGGTTGAACCTTCCTTCAGGCTCATTTACCTTGTCAAGCAAAGCTGACGACATCGCGTTTTCAGGAATGCTTGAGGTTTTTAGAAGCCGAATTGCTTCATAGCTTCAAGTGTCTTCAGACAGAGCCGGATAGTGTTAAAACAGATTTATACATAGATCAGCGAACAGCTGAAGCTATTTAGTTGCATCTGTGAACGGGTCTATAAAAGAACTAGTAATTCATAGGGGCTTAGCGTGATTTATACCGTATGAAATATACTTACGTTCCGCATCGCAGTTCACGTTGCAAATAATAATGTAAGTTTCAATATGTTAATTGTAGAAAAAACAAGGCTAAAAGAATAAAAATAATAGCGATATCCTCACCTATATCACGATAAGTATCCGCTTCACCTACAAAGTAATCCATGTATATTTTTACTGCTTATATATATATGGAAAAAAAACTAAATCTTTTTTGAGATTTATATTTATATATACGTATCGACTACATACTAGGTATTTGGTGTTTTTCTATGTCCATATGTGTTACTCTAACGGGAATAAATAAATAAATGAAAAAACTCGTAACGTCATGAATATATTACGTTAGCACAGTATAGTCACAGAAGTATTTTTTTTCTAAATATGCTATGTTTATCGTGAATCTGTTATTGTGAAACTGTCTCCATAGAAAAACAGGGCGCTGGATTTGCATTCATCGACTCAAAGTTTGCTCTAAAATACTCAGGTTGTTAATATCACTTCATCATGCGGTTACGTTTAATCGGCATGGATATCACTGAACTTCCCAATCAAGATAAGGGTCAAATTATCCCATAAACAATACTCCTTGGCCGGAGGATGGTAATAAAAGCTTTTACTGATTTCAGCATAATAAGAAGAACGCTGCGAACGTTTCTTTGAATTAAAATGATTCTAAGTTTAATAAAGCGTACGTCATTCTAAATAGAGCATGCCAACCACTTATCAGTTCAACAGCCTTTGACTTTTCAGTATATTTTATATATATTTCAGTATATTTTTCAGTATATTTTAAGAAATTTCACTTAATAAAATTGGCTCAGCCATTATGCAGAATGTGAATTGAAATTAAAAGAAAAAGGTTTATTGAGAAACGAAAAAGCTTTTGTGTATGTTCTCTTAACATTGTCTATGCGGCTCGGCATAACTCACTCAGTATCTGTCAATTTGTTTCAATGTGTATTTTTAAGAATTAAACATCAAAGTATTTAAATGCTTTAAAGCCTGATTAAATAGTTCGGTCATTTATCTTCTTTAGCTTCTATTTTCCTGTACCATTGGTTAAGCTTATCGGCGTATTTAGGGACTACAAGGGTTCTATATATCAAAGAGGCCAAAAGTATGAAAATTAAAAAAATCTTATCACTCTTTGAGCACTTATTAGGCCAAAGACACTTACCTTACCTTGTTTTATATCGACATGTCCATATCGGAATCCTGACTAGATGCACGCGCAACAAAATCATTCGTCCGCATATCCAAAGGTTAAAATCCTCGCTAGCGCCTAGGGCAGTACCTGCCATCGGGATATCATTCTATTAAAACGAAAAACCACGAAGTATAAAATACCAAAAAAATGGTTTTAAACTTACTTCTAGTAATTACTTAGACGACTCACTTATCATATAAATATATAGAATATTTTCGTTGCTTTAATCTGGGCAGATTTTCCGGAAGCGATATTGTCCAGTATGCTGGAGTTGTGAGGTGCTGACCCGAACGAGTGGATGCCACCCAACAATCTCAATTGCGATTATTGATAAACGTTCCGTCAATGGCGTGCACAAACGGCTATATAAGTGTAAATATATTTGTGTCATGTTTTTAATTAATAAGAGTTAAAAATTATCTTTAACAGGCAAAAAATAAGTAGCAGAAAAACAAAGCAATAGTATGTCACACATGTAAACGGTGCAATGGCATTTTGTTAGCCTTGGTAGTAGTTAGTTTACTGGTGGTAATTTATTCGGTCATGTTTGTTCCTTACTACGGAAGTGCTGTTTTTCCATTTATAAACAAGCAGATATCACACGATTTCCTCGATTTTAATTGCTGACACTTAATTATAATCGACTTAATTGCAAACTGCAAACTCGTGAAAACCGCTGTTGAGCCTCACGGCTAGCTTCCAGATTCATACAACGAATCTGCTCCCTGCTAATTACGATATATTGTATATATATTTTAGTTATTTGAAACTGGTGATGGCAGTATTTATAAAATTCTGGAATTTCGACTGAACTTGATCTAACCGAATTCGGCTACTACCGAATACGATACGAACCGAATTACATAAAATAGCCGAAAAATAAATTTTCAGTCATTTTTGTCCTCGACATATTCGCAGCATGGGAAAACGTGGAGCTACTTGGTGCAGGGGCTATATGGGCTACTCAATTTTTTTTTTAGCAAAAAGGTTGATTTTAAATTTCAATAGTATAAAACTTGCAGATTTCTTTAGCTGTACACGGGTCAAAAGTATATCGCCCTTTGCGTTACTAGACCTTTTTCGTCGACTAAATTTAAAAAAAAATGAGCTGTATGGGACGGTTAAGCGTTTTTTTGTATTTTATAGAACTTTTGCTGAGCAACTGAAAGAAGCAAAAATATTTTTCTACCACAGTTTTCTTCTCCCAGAATTAGCTTGTATAAAAATGGTTAAACGACTTTTAACTAACTTAATGATAACTTTAGAAAATACATGGATCAGGAATAAATGAAGTTATATGAGCCACTGCATTTCAAACGTATCTGTATGAAAACGGATGCTATCTATGCTAATTTTACAGATCTGTCTATCTGTATATACGTGCGTCAACATAGCGTAGTTTCGTACTCGTACCACATGACGTTATTGTTACCGACCGGTGTTGTTTGTGAAAGAAAACCGGACGACATTATTGGCACTACTAAAGCATTGTTTCGAAAAACGATATTGACAAAATACGCATTACATTGCGAACAATCATGATCATAGCTTAGAATTTACCGTGGGAAATATCAGAATAATGCTCATGTATGATAGCGTGTAGGTGGTGGTGGTGGGGTCCGGTCCGCTTTGAAGAACAGCGCGCTTTCTGTTATTGCGCCTCCTCACTTCTCAAAACGAGGTATAACTCGTTGATGTCCTACTAGTTGGGCCATTCAACAGCCGGTTCAACTGTGCGCAACAAAACTTCATGAGGGACAATGGTAGACGAATCAATCTCTTTGTCCTGTCTAGCTTGTTAATCATTAAAGAGTATCGGCCTTTTTCTCATCCGTAATGACAGCCTTTTTTAAGAAGAAAAACATTTCTTTAATCGTTGTTAAATTATTGATTTGTTTGCACGGAATCACTAGTTGCCTATATAGCCCCACCTCTAGTCTATATAACCCCACCTTTTGGGGCTATATGTGTGAACGGCATGTTTACAGCTGGTATTTTCTTAGAAATAAATTGATTACAATGAACCTGTTTTGGTCTCATAATAGGACAGTCTCTAACGGATATAGCGATATATGATTTTCTATCCGTGGGACCGGTTGTGTTCGACGATAATTTTAGGTAAATTGCAACCCATATATAAGCTCACCTCCTATATCTCCCTTCGAGTGATTTTAGCAATGAAAGGATCTAAATAAGTATTTTCTGCCCTGCCTGTTTTCCTGGTAGCCTTGACACCAAGCAAGGTTATGACTACCGTGCGCCAAAACTTTGAATTAAGCCTTCATACACCTTCTTCTTAAACGAGCCAATGTATTTAGCAGGAAATTGCCTAACTCAATGTGACTCAGTCATAATTAAAGCTTGCGTTCTAGTATTTGTTTTATCGATAAAACGAATTTCTAACTCATTCATGGTTGCCTTCCAACTGATATGACAAGGACTGAGGCGCTTGAATTTCTATCCAACATTTGCCATCGACAGGCAAAGGTTACTGGAGACTTCTTCGCAATTAGGTGAAGATAATTTATAGCGTGCCTGTTGATACTGTAGTCTTGCTTTCACAACGTTGTAATCGCGTGATTGGATCGAACTAATGTTGATGCAACATGTTCTTGAGCTATTCAAAATCTAAATGGCGTTGACAACGCTGTGATTATAGCGATGCTAGCTATTTTCGAAAGGAAAGGATATTTCGGTGTAGTCCAAATCGATTCGTGTTAATCAGTGGAAAGTGGAGTGCGCGGATGTCTGGCGGCAGCCGTTCGCAGGAATGGAGAGTCGTCTGCGATGATGATGAAGAGATGACGATCCAAAGGTGGTTCAGTCGTCGCGAACAAAACTCCGCACACCTGAATTCACCGTCAGAAAAATCAAAAGGAAATAAAAATGGCGCCAGTTTGGACCAGCCAAAAGATTCGAGGAAGCCCGAAGCCGACGGGTCACGCAGCACTCGTGGCGGTGCCGTCTGTGGTATTCTTTCAACCAGACAGACAGGAACTACAGGCCCTACTCCAAAAGGAAGCCCTTTATCATATCCAACGCTTTCGAGTGCTGGTGCAGCAAAGAAAGTTCAATTTAGTGAGGATGATATCATACAGGTCATGTCACCTCAGCCAAGGGGTACCCCGTTCGTGAAACCGGGTACGTACATTAGGCAGGATATATAGCTGAGCGACCTTAAGCAAATAAAAATAATCTGTTGAAACGCACATTCTTTAAGAACACCATAGGTTTAATTCAGTTCTCAACAGCTGCAACGACAGCGTGCGAAGCAAACATGTTTTGCAAGAACGTTGACGCGTGTACAACAGGAAGCGCTCCCCATTGATGATCATACCGACATTACAACAGAAGCAAGCTGAAAGCTTTTATCTGATTTTTTTTATTTTAAAGAATCATGTTAACGTAGATCGTTAAGCTAGAAAATATTTTTTCATTATGGTAAGTGTTCATGGTGCAGCACATCTGCCGAATACTGCAAGTTAATGATAAACATTTTAGGTGTTCCTTCAACTGGCTCGGCCCGCTGATCCATCTGTTAGCGTGGCTTCATAGGTCCACGAGCTGAGATCGTTACTTCACATTCAGTGTTAATGTCTACAGCAATTTAAGTGTTGAATGTTTCATATGGGCCTATGAGCTTCTTCCAACGACGTTTATTAGTACGACGAAGGCATGCGGTAGCTGGAGCCAGTGTTTTCGATAGTAAGGCTGATTTCTCAAGACAGCCACACCTGGTAGATTGGTGATAAACTTTATACGCAAAGGACGATTCACTGAGGAACGGTTAATAAGCGACTCGCTAATAAGCTAGCTTTATGACAGCCTTTGATCATGGCTAAATGCACATAGAGGCGACCAGAACTACTAAACCTTTGCCCAAGTAGGTCATTAAACACCTGAGGAAACTGTAGGTGAGGATAACAATATACTGTTGTCAGGGTAGGGCATACTGAATTGGCTGATATACCATCGTGAGTAGCACTAACTCAACCGGCCACAGGCCTGTAGAGGCATCTTTTGTCGTATGTTTTGTTTCAAAATTTGGCGTGATGGAATTACGTCCTCTGTCTCAAAAGTCGACTTTGTTCTTAACACGTTATTTATGTAATCAGTAGTTGTAGTTGCGAGAAACGTTAGTATGGTGCGTGTTCGGTAGTTCATATCGATTGTTTCTGCTATCGTGACAAGATTGACCTGACGAAATGGGTGCCACCCTGAAGTTCGAAGCTGAGATCAAACACATAACATCAAAGGCATACCCACTGACACTCAGCGTCAGTTACTTGACAGATAGTCTTATTTATAGTCTTTTAATAGTCTGGGGCAAACCTATTTCAAATTATTATAACTGCTCAGTTCCATCAAAATATGCATGCTATAATATCGTGGTGCTGTTATTTTTAAGCTTTTTTGTGCTAATATACAATATGTGAAATAATAACATTAGCAAATTTCGTCAAACTTGTGCTTTTGTTATACATGGGTATGTCGAAAACCGACGATTGTATAACACTGAAAGTGGCGTGTTTCGGATCCAATTTACGGTTTTCGACGGACTTTGTTATCAGGCCCGGGTCGTGGCGCTCCTATGAAAGTGTCTTGGGGCGCAAAGCTACAGCTCTATACAACTGTGGGCTCAAACATTTCGTATTGCAAATTTGAGAAAGTCTGCTATAGATACGATTTGACCATCGGTCCTTACATTATTGCAGAAAAAACCTCGGCTTACGTTCGTTATTTTGACCATAAGCCTATCTAATCTTTCGACGAACATTACGTGTTGAAACCTTACGCCTCTCCGTCAAAAACTTTGTCACGATAGAAAAAGCGCTATTAGCCATTGTTCTACTGGTAGTCTATATGAGCTTCGACACCTATTTGTAGAGTAGTATACTAACTAGGAAAATACCAAATTTGAAATCAGGTACATTGCAAACGACGTACTCAACTTGACAGGCGAATGAGTTTGCTACTCAAGATAATATCAGTGACTCGAATGGAAGAGGAACAAATACTACCTAGAACTATCGAAGGTAAACGTTTTTATGTACAGTTTACATTTTCGACGTTTAAGTTAGTACTTACAGGGCAACGATTAGCGCGTATGTCATCACTGATTTAACAGTATCGAGAACTTTCATAGATGAATCACAACGGAATAATCCTAAAAAACAGAAGCGGCACTATTGACTGGCGGAAAACGTATGCCATGATGTATGTCAGTTTAAAAGAAGAGAATTATATCTTGCATAACGCAGTACTTTATTAAAGGGGTGCGTTCATTGGCCTAAACTAGAAACGAATCGCACCGTTTTGCATAGGCAAGATTAACTTCGATTAGGCCTTATTTCTGATTGATAAACGCTATTGATAAATTATATGCCTGAACTCACTGAGAATCGAGGACTATTTCCTGTGATACGCAAGCATATATTGAAACGTTGATTAGAATTTGATGTATGATGCACATTATCCTATTAAAGTCTGTTCTTGTAGATAAACCCAGAAGATCCGTCGTTCGGGTAACAGGCGGTTTAGCAAAAATACTGGAACATATTGGCCAGCTCGTGCAAAACTATCCGTTTGCTATAGGTTTTTTTCTATAAAAATAACCGGTAGTGACCGGTAGTGGGTGTGTTTCTGACCTACTGGAGGGCCATTATGCGTGCGGACGCAGAAATATCGGCCTACCCTAGTGCGAAAATGTAGAGCAAATTGATCAGCCTGAATAACAAGCAGATGTTATTAATGAGTGCCCTCACTTAGCTTAAGAGCCAATGATTGTAGTGACGCTTTTCTTACTGGGTAGTATAGTTCCTGCCGGCTATGATATACCACATCGACAATACCGTTTAAGGATTAATAGAACTCTGTGTGATATTGATAGTTTTTGCCACGAGGAAATATAATTATTAGTTGACCCACTATTGCGGTATTATGCTGTTGCGAAACGTAAGATAGAATATCTCCTATCCTAAACCCTATCCAAATTGTAGCATCTACAATGTCTGATAGCTATCTTTCTTTGTTTTTCTTGTTTTCGGGAATATGTTTTTTGCTGTATAAAGATCGTTACCAGAGCCGTAAGCTGCGTCGAACTGCGGCACGCATGAAACTCTATCAGAAAAAATATGGAACACCCCTGCCTGAAGAATTTTACGACGTTACGCCGCCAAGTCTCGTAGAAGCACTTGATAAAGAAATGGCTGAACAAATTCGTAAGAAGCTTCGTAGCAAAATTATGTCCCAGATACGACTGCAGCAGCTATCGACCCGCAGCTCCGAGGACGATCATCTGCCCCTGCTTGACAAATGTGACAAGCCCAATTGTCGAAAGAAGGTTGACCCTATCTCCTTACATAGATAGATGGTTATTCCGTTACTCTAATATTACGATTGTTCAGAATATACAATTAGCAAAACAAAAAACGATTATTTCAGTGTCTTTCACCTTTTTCATCTCTGTGTTTATATACAGACAGAATCGAAACACGTGCACGACGGTCAAGTATCTCACAACTGACATATATGAGAAAGTGTGTTCTTGAATATTATTATGGCAACCCTAATGAAAGGCTACCTAATCAGGGTCATCAACAATGTCGCGGCGTAAAACTTGCAGGGTTCTTGTTTGACTGAGTTAGCGAAGCAGACGACAGACAGCAATGTTACGCCCGCATCGCCGGATAAACACACCCGAAGTCGAACGACCCCTCTAGAACAGGACATTGGTACACAGCCCTCAAGCACAGATACAAGCTGTGTACATGGCGTGCCACGTTCCGTGTCAAATGCGGAAGTTGACACACTAGAATCATCGTATAGTGCCAAACCACCTTTAAGTTTTGCGTGCAGTTTAGCATATATTCCCACAGACGCCACTCCTCCACACACCATAAATTATAATAGCTCGCAGAAGGGTCGTGCACAACACATTCTCAAGCACGACGAGCCAGTGCACTGTCTAAAACATACCGGTACGTCGGACGCTCCAAAGGAAAGCACTCTGTTTTGTAGTGCGAAACGGAGCAGTCCGTCCTATACGCAAAAGGAAGATAGTTCGCCGCACGCTGAGAGTCCGAAGAATCGAAACCAGAGAGCACAATGCACGCGGACGGGATATTCATCGCAGACGTCATCGAATGCTCTAATGAAGTTCAACCTGATTACACCGCTATGCGCAAGAGCATCTATGAAGACCTCGGTTAATTTGGAGTTAATTGCTATGCCGAGTCCACCTAGCTCACAACAGAGTCCAAATGGAAGTCCAGCATATAGCCGACAAATGATTGTTGAGGAAAGCTCAACTCTGAATCCTCCACGTGAATCAAGCAGACATCAACGACGAAGTTATCGTCATCGTTACCATCATCATCGTGACACAAGCGTGAAGCACTCTAGTCACTTGCTGCCTGCCGAAACGAGCACCGATTTGAATGGTGACCTAAGCAGTGATTTAAGCGACAATTCGAGTGGTGATCAAAATGACGATTACTGTGAAATATGCGGTAGCTCAATCATACAGCGGAACCGACGAACAGCAGATCACGATCACAGCGGGGTGCCAGCTGGAAGTGAAACTAGAAATTCATATAATTGTTTGTCTGACCATTCGTCACGTCCAGTCACTCTGAGGACACCGAATTATATAAGCAGCTACAGTAATTTGGAACCCAGCGAACTTCCTAACAGTCATCTTTTAACGGAATCGGGCTTACCACCGCACAGACTATTGCTACATGACATTACGCTTGATCAAGCATCGGATCCCGCAACAAGCTTAGAGACGTTTTTGCATCACAGCGCATCAAACTTACGACGAGGCAAAGGTATAGTCCCAGCTGAAACAACATGGCAAGCGCTGCGAGGTAACACACCAAAAAATAAGTGATCTAACTCGGCAAAGCATGGATATACACCGTCATATAGCTGTGACAGGTACATTCAACGTTAACAGATAAAGATTAGGTATGACGGGTTCCCAAATTTTGTGCAGACGTGAACTTCGTACTGTATCCAATGTAACACACTTCGTGACCTGCGGCGGCTATGAAGAGGGGCCCGGAGTCTACTTTGAATAGAAGCGTCAACAGCTAATGGTTTCATGAGCAAATGAACGGGCGTCCATAAGCAAATGTTAAAAACATGATCTGCAAAGCGCATGATGAGAGTTCGGCGTTAGTCGGAATATTCACAGGTATCCTTGTGATTTTAAAACAGAGAGAAGCAGCCTTGAATTAAACGAAACACTATGACAGAACGCTCGGAGTTTACTTTGTATCACTAATTTTTTCCATTATGCCGCTGTGCTTGAAGTATACAGTACGCATTATATAAAGGTGGAATATACTTTCTAGAAATCCAATACCAATAGACACTGCAAGCAAGGCTTTTGTACACAGATTCGAGTACGCCCTAAAGAAATACACTCAACAAGACTATAGGCCGCCTTCTTTACCGTTATTTTCTAAAATGTATTTCGTATTTGTGCCTAATAATAACAACTTATCATAAAGATGTGAAACTTGCAGGGGTTTGCTTAGTACAGTTCTGACAAAGGAACCAGCAATCTTGATAACGTTTACTCGAAGGAAGACAATCGACAACTAGAAACGGTAAAGTCAGGGTTAGACGAAGCTTTGGCAGAACAAACAACCGACGCGTTTTTATCTACTTGACCAGTCAGTACGCCGACTGTTTCATAAAACGGAAAAGCCGAAGATACTTTTCTCTGAAACGAGTTGGCGGGTTGTTATAAGACTTCGGAATCACAGCCTTTTTTAATTCGCGGAGTATGATTTACTATTCGTGGATAGAAAAAAATTAGAATCTGCTGGTTCTCCGCGAAGCCGTAAACCTCTGGAACCTGATGAGGCGTTGCAAATTCGCAATACATTGCTGATGTTCGATAGACTAGGACAACCAATCAACAACTTTAGTCTAATTTGGGTTTGTTGACTTAATAGTTGAATTATTTTTCATAGGCTATATATATAATGCATGGCTAGCTTTAGAAAAGGTGTGCCTTTCACCGTGCCAACATTTACGTAGTACCTAAAACTAACTTCCGTTCGTCGAATATATTTGCTAGTCAGCTTCGTTGACCGTTCGTTTCGAGAAACACCCAACACTGAATAAGCTGGTAGACAAAATGTACTACCATGGTTTGAATTTCATGGAACTGTAAATCAGGATCGTCCTGTCGTCGCGTCGACCTGCACGTCGACTCACTTCGATAGCGCACCAAGGAGTGCTACCTCGTTAATAGTAGGGATTTATCAGCAGACTGTGTGACGGTATCCCTCGCCCGGCTAACTACACCAGTGCCACCGGCTTCGTGGAAAAAGCCAGCGTTTCGGCCAACCCAAGTTAACTTTTGTCAACCAGAAACCCCACAAAAATAACTACTTAAACCTTCACCCTTCTTCGACTAATGCGACTGTGTGCGAACAAATCGAACCTCAAGACTCTTGGCCGTACGAGTCGATTCGTGAAAGTATCTATTAGCAGCCTAGTTAGACCCTGACTAATAGATCTTTTATGCTTAGCGAAGTTATTGAAGCCAAACACAGTCATAAAGGAAACAATATCCCAAAAAACAAACATGCGTCATGTTCAAAGCCAAATCAACCTCGAATGCTAACTGCTGCGGACAAAGCGAGCCGACCCTTATTTGAGCCTTCTCAGAGAAAACCAAACGACTCCGAGTCAGAGTGCTGTCGAAGGCCAAGTCCACCTGCAGGCATAACTCAAATATCAATATCCGTTACCAACTCCGAGGACAGATCGCATCCGAAGCCGGATAGATAAATCAAAAACAAAGGCAAAAACTGAGCAGAAAATTTAGCCCTAGGTTAGCGAGCTTAGGCCAAAAGGATAGTGAATTTAGAAATGACGTTCTTCGTCTAGTAGGCAACGATGAGAGTAAGAAACCGTCAAGAACAAACCGTGGACTAGACATTCATCAGTGACTCTACGGTCTGCTGCCGCTGCAGTTATAAATGAGAAATCTGGGTGTCTGATCAAATGTTCTCTAAATAAAAATAGTCCCCAGCATAAACGGTTCAGTTTAATAAAGATGCTCAATCGATGATCTGGTTCTAATTCGCTTTGTTTCCCAATAATAGGAATAATTATTCGTCAGCTCCTGTCTGTGTCATAAGTATTATTTAGGTCATACATTATATAAATGCAGGTTACTATTGTTTACAAAAGTGCTACTGGTTCAATATCACATATCCGGCCGCTCGTGTTTGCTCGAGCGGGATCGTGCCGATGGACAACAGGACAAAGATGACGATGATGATGACGACGTATTGCCATGATGTGCACCCCTGGGAGAAGGGAAATTGACGAATCTGCTCGTGACGTGAATTCAAAAAGCATCATCAGGCCCATGTCCGGAAACTGGGAGCTGGAATGTAAGGCATCACACGTGCAAGCGATATAGATCTTGTTCATATCATTGAAATGAAATCATGATGCAAAGTTAACGTTGTCCTTCTGGCGCGACGTCCCAATGAATTGCTTTGCAAGTTTTACGTGCTACGAGTCAAGCTACAAGATAACAGGAACCTGGATGTTGAGAATTCTGGTTGGCACACTGAATATCCACGGGTTACGATTACTTATTACCATGAAAAAAAATTCAATCATGTTAATCTGCGGACGCTTTCAAAATGAGGAAATGCGTCTATGGTATGGATGAAACACATTTAGCAGAAGTCCATTAAAAAACATGTATTGAAAAATCACACTGCTACTGTCCATTTCGTAATCCTGAAGTGGCTGTGTGTCTTGCGATTCAGCAACAATAAAATTGGGTTTACTAACCTGAAACTTCCACAAAAATTCTAGGTCTTCTTTAGCCGGGCCGATAATCACGAGCATTATATACCGCGGACTTTTGATAGAGCTATTATGAAGTTACATACGTGTCGACGGTAGATTCAGACAAAAGTAAGCAGATTTAGAGATTTAGATAACATATACACCATGGGCGTATGATTAAAAGATGCACTACTGGATTTCTAGCTCTATTGTAGCGGTATGTGAATCTAGTTAATGTCCCTACGCTGAGTTCGAAGTGGCATTTTTAAAACGCGACCTTTTCCTCTTAGTTCACGTTTATATGGCCTTTCTTGCCTTGTTCGCAATAAGGCTATGTGCTGCCTAATCCATGGTATTCGCTTGAATTTTGTTTAATTTTCAGCTGTGTTATGTTTCTGTGTACATACGTCCAGTTGATCTTGCGATAATTGAAAAAGTATCTCTTGTTATCTAGTAAGGTATCAAACTCTCTTTTCACTGGCCAGAACAAGAATCGTTCGGCGCTGGTCTCCTTTTCGTTCACTTCAACCTCTCACGCCCTTCACTGCCAAAAAATCACCTTACTAAATATATCGTTGAACGATCCCAGGTGGCTCGCCGTTTTCTTTGTATTGATAAACTATTGTGAGCAATTCGAGTAAACTACACATCAGCAAGATACAATACTGAATTCACCGATAACCTTCCTCGAGTTATCTGTGAAGTAAGAATCATGTAGGTATTGAGGACTAATCAGTTAGGGTTTGCTCAATCTTATATATCGCCAAGTAATAATCTCGAAAAAAGCCTACAACTACCAGCAATTAACAAGGAAAAGAACTAATCCTGTGGCGTCGCTAGAACTACTGTTTTTATTTCCGTTGTGCAGAATAGTTATGGTTGGTGTATTGGCAGAGACTCACCTGCTTTTCGCTTGCAGACGGGGAAAAGAACAGAACTTTTTTTTGCAAAAGTAGATAGCTACCGTGTTAAAAGACCTAGTTAAGTGTACTAATAGAATCTGTATTTCAATTAATGTCCCGACCGTAATGGTCGTCGTTTCAAAGGTTGCAAAAATCTACTCTCTAGCATACTTTCGATTATCTGTTTTACTGCACCTTGAGCAAGGCCAGTTGCGTCGATTGTTTTTCTCTAAGTAAATCTGCCCGTCCATCTGCCCATTCGTGCACAATGTATCTACCTATGATGTGAAAATTTTGTAAGTATCGTTAGTAAGTGAAGCCAATATGTTTTCTCGTATTATAGCGATCGAACATAATTGATATTAAGTAGTAATGGTTTCTAATTAGGCAAGGATTTTTGGTACAAAAAAGATTTGAACTTTATTTTAGACGTCAACTGAGAAGTTGTGCACTTGGATCAAATTATAATAAATAGCGGGCTGTGATCTTTGATGTTAACAGTTTGTTCCTTTTTACAGGCACTTGATATACAGCGAGCGGCTTGCGACGTTACGAGCGTAACTAGTTCCGAGAGCGCACTCGGTCGCCTGAAGATTGGCCGCTTTTCCTGGCCATATTAGTTCGTTGTGTTCCTTTCGTTCGCTTGTACTCGGCGTAGTAACGCTGTATAGACGCATATATTATCATTTCTGTTGGATCTCGTCGCCATTATCATTGTTTCGTCATAGTATCGTTGAAGTTTGATGCTGGAAGATTTTATGGAAAAGCGCCTCGATTCATCTAGGATGCAGCCTGTTCCTCAGGATTCTCACAGCCCTTGGTGAGCACATTCGCCCACCTTTTCAGGTTAATCTTCGAGCCATCCATGGGCGCTTCAGCGAACACATCGTTGGCTTCCTGCTCGGTTAACTTTTCGCCGAAAGTGCATAGCATCTTGCGTAGTCTGTAACATCAAGCGCAAATCACATCCCTTCATCAATCTCTGATAGAATGCAACGTGTCCAAGAGATCGATGGGTATGACGATCAAACTGACCTAGATGACGATAAATATGGCGCAGAAACTTACATTCAGAGCTGCTCGGCTGTTTTCATTTCGTCAACTCGTTAAGAGCTACATACACTTTAACCAATTAACATGAAACTGACTCAAGGATAGGCATTGTAATTAACAAGGTATAGATAATATACTTCAGCAGCTACAAGTTATGCTCTGCTCACCTGACCGCGATATCAAACGGTTAAAAAGACGATGAAAGCATTTTTTAAAGGGATTATAAATTGCGCTTAACATGAACGATTTGTATACGTGCCATCTCCGATATATAGATCAGCCAAGAATCAACGCGGTGCATGTGTTTCGTTTGCAGACATTTTAGTGTTAAACGGTTCTGGCTGGCTATGGTACAACGTAACAACGCAGATAGAAAAAGAAATAGTAGGTCATCCGTTTGCGAACATAGCGATGATGTCGAAACCAGTCGCGGTTAGAATCTTGGTTAGATGAGGCTGACTACCATATATAGAGCGGGTGTGGCTATGTAGGTTTATGTCGAAAGAGGCGGATCTGGTTGGAAAGAAGAGAATGCTCGGGCTCTAGGACAAACGGGGCCAGGTTTTCGACTCTAAATATTACACGCTGACGCCGATAGGTAGCAGGGATGCACGCGACACTACAGCGTAAATCTTGAGAACATTAATGAGACGTAAAACGGCAACTGACTCGTGGGTGAAAAGTTAGGTTGGGAACAGTTACATGTTTATAATTATAACGCGGTAAACGGTCGGATGTTTCACCTACTTTTCTTCAGTGCAGGTGCCGTCTCCGTCATCGAAGATGGTGAAAGCGTTGACAATCGTTTCCTCCTCGTCCATTCCGCCGGCCTTGTTAGCGAAGATGGTTACGAATTGGGTAAAATTAATAGGTCCAGAGGCCTCGGACATCATCTCATCGAGTTCCTTATCGCTCGTCAGACGTCCCATCTGGTCGAAGGTGGCACGGATATCGTTCTTTGAGACGATGCCTACACAGCGCAGAAAGGTCACCCCTATGAGTAGCACCGGCCAGTGTAACACTCACAATGCATAGAAAATCACGTTCCGTTCCGGACTTTACATGCTATATAACAATTCACTTTAGTACGGAATATTGAGGTACTCAGTGAGGCTTTGGCAAAAGCGAAACAACTTACCATCCTTGTCCTGGTCGATGAATCCAAAGGCCTCTTTGAACTCAGCCATCTGATTTTGGCTGAACATGGAGAACACGTTGGAACTGGACTTCACTGCCTTCTTTTTTGATCCGGCCATTGCTGTGCTTGTGCGGAACCTCTTCGAAGTGAAGGAGAACTCGCGGGATGCCTACGGGCCTGGAAATTCCTGAAATCAGAAAGAGAGCTTGACCTTTGTACTCAATTGAGCCTCAGTAAAGCATAGATAGGAGGACGAGCTTGACCTCCAGATGTTAGGAAATGGTCGATGTTGTTGACTTTGAGTTAGATAAATGTCGAGTTATTTGAACTAGTTCACTGTACCACCTCACCACGTCCACATCATTGACGAACCATTTCACTTATAAACTTTAAATGCGGGAAGCACATAAAATGGGTGCTCTTCGTCCCCATTCCAGAACTTCGTGAGTTTTTCAAAATGGGGTTGCCGGTCGCTGGCAATGAAGAATTTTGGGTGGACGACAGCCATTGGTCCACCACCATGCCATAGTCTTTGCTGTGCCATTACGAAGCCAGTTGCAAAGCATTGGACAGAAGACTTACCTAAGCCAACCGTGGTGAGAGACTCAGGACAATGTCTGTCTGAACAGGGCTCGATCTCAGAATGTAACAGGAGGACGTATAAGGGAGAGTGGAAGATTTCTCTATCGTCTTCTTCAATTGGCCTGCTCGAACCTGACCCGGCTCTCCGTAAGGCTTTAGAATCTGGCCCACCAGCAGGTCGCCCTCTCCTTTCCGCCTTATGGACCGTTGTGTCAGGATGACTAGCTACGACCCTTGTTTGCGCTTTCGACCGCGCTATTTTTACCCACCTAGCGGGTATACAAGGTCTCGAGTAGTTCCTACTAGCTTAAACATGGAAAGAAACTGAGATCTTGTGAAAGGACCTTCTACCAGCGGGTTGCAAGCAGACGATTCTCTCTAGTAATAACCTTTTGACTCGTTGAGAATGTTATACTGCGAAAAGCGTGACTACGACGTTTTCCTTAAGAAAGAACTAAGCTACTGTGTTTGCAATTTCGGGAGACCCTCTTGGGCTCACCAACTCTGTTCTATGGGAGCGCCGCCGGTACGATCTGAACCAGGAAGTAATATGCTCTTCCTGCGGATAGAAAATAACTCTGAACAGGTATTAGTAACAGACGGATAACAATGGAAGACACGGAGGTGACGTCTGCGCGCCATCAACTGCGAAAATAAATCGTTGCCCCAAATCTCGAAGATTATACTGCCTATAAAATGAGCTTCGGAAAAATTCTTCTTACAAATCTTGTGACCGAGCTACACTTCTTCGTCGATCATTTGAACTCCTCTTCTCATCCCTTTCTTGAACATTAGAATCACTTCAGCGACCTAGTTTCGGCCTATTCTGCGGCCGTCCCGGTCGACAGCTTTATAGGCATTAATTCCAGTAAAACATGGATGATATTAGTACATAAAACTTGTTCTCATAGTGACTGCGACGATAATCTCACACAACTACAATTAAAAAATTGAAGATCAGCGAACTAAAGAAGAATATGACACAGCCATATGATACAACACTTACCAATACTTATTGCTCCCCAACCCTCTTATCAGTTTAAAATACGTTAGTATAGATGCTGAAACGTCTGGGTGTGGCCCCAATCGTAAGACTTTTCGCAAGTTTACGATAAACACGTGGCCTCTTAGAAGCCCATATGTTTTCATGATATACGTCTGTTTTTGGTGCGAACAAGACCGGATTCATTTCTCCCATCGTGTTGTGGTTGACTTTCAACTAACGTTTGAGCAACGTTTTCTCTTTAGGTCGGCCAGCCATCCGTTAATGGCTGGTAGACGACGTACGTATACCGAAGACTGATATCTGAACCTTGCTGGAAAATCGAATACAAACCACCGGTGGTTTGTCAAAAGTAGATTACATGAAGTGTTCGCGTTTTCGGCGATGTTAAAAACTTGCAAACTCATACGCTATTATTGCTCCTCTTTCTGGAATCGGTCTACATGCACCTTTTTTCAACTGTCACTGGTCCTTAAACCGGCCATTCATGAAATGTTGTCTCTATAGAAATACAAGTTGAGTACAGCATATCTATATGGACTCGAGAGCTTAAATGTCATTTGTAACCGATATGAACATGGACCATGTTGGAGAGCATTCATTTTGCACGGGGCTCGATTTCCGCATAGGGAATTATCTATTCGCAGGCTTTACATTCACTGCAACTCTGATACTTTAAAAAAGGCGTGAATAAATGAAGGAACTAATCGAGACTAACACCGGTTGTAAGCTGATGTGTTGCTAAACGTGTTGAATACTCTACATGTAAAATGTTGGAACTGGTCACTATGAGATTGATATTCAAAAACAACATGTCACTTTCATGTGTGAAATAGTTTTACCTGACATATTTATCTAAAAACTTACTAATTGCGGTGCAGGAGAAGTCAGTTCATGTTCTATTTCGCATGTGGTACAAACGGAACTAGACGATAATTTTTTTTACCGTAAAATATTTATTCTATAGAACAACTGTTACTAGATCATTTGCTGTATAATGTCCGTTCATTTATTATGTTGTGGGGCTAAGGTTCATTGTGGTAGCATTTCAGCTATTAGAAATACTTTGTCGATAGACGGGCTATTTATATTGATACTCGAAGTAAATGTACATAGCCTCGAGTTGAAAGCCACTTTCCTTGTAATGCGATAGTCATCACGTGGGGGTGACTTTTGGGCTTTTGGGGTAAAGCTCGTCTTTGTGTAAATACTAATTTAGGCTAATGGCTATGGCTAAAAATGTCAGAATCGATACATCTTTCTAATTTCACGATTTCATATTTATAAAAGCAGACAGCTGCGTATTGAGCACAAGGTCTCTTTATGTAAAACACGCATACTAATCGTATCTTCCTTTTCACGGTTTGTCATCTATCGGAATCAGGCAGACAAAAAAAACATCGAAACACTCCACTTTTTACGTAAGAGGCGTGAAGATGAGAAATAACTACTAGATATCTTAAAGTTACAACACCATTGCAAAACTCTTGTGGACTATAAATTCCAGTCTTAATTTTGCGCCAGGTTAACGGAACCCTGTTTTAATGGTGCATGTTCCAATGTGTTCGTCTACCCTAGGTCACTTATCCTTTTATAGGGGTGGCTGCAATCGAGAATCATTACGGGGGTATCACGGAACAGGTCGGGGCTACATGATACACTGCTCTGCTCCATTAGACCCTTGCGAGGATGCGTGTTTAGAGTTATACGCACAGCCTTTTCTCTATCCTACACAGACACTGCAGATAAGAGACTGACTATGACCTTAGGGTCGGGCTCCAAGGTCGACGTATCCTTTCAAGCACAATGCAGCACAAATGCAGAGTATCCAAGCGGGAGACTTCGTTGGGGTGGGACACCTAGCGCGTTACTATCGCGAAAAAACAATCCGTAATCCTTAAACCGCTTCAAGAAGACACGTGGGCCACTCACTAACCTTTCCGATGGCGTAGTGAACGATTGCTGCTTGAGGACGTCTATTTAACTCGGCCGTGGGCTAAGGCGAACCGAGGGCTTGAGAGGGCACCGGTGCTAACCTCGGACAGCCGACAGCAGTTCTTGAATGCGGCTGTAGTGGTTTGTAAGTTTCTTGCTTGTTAAAAGCGAATCTTCTCGATATAGGGTAACCAAGTTTTGGGCGGAACTCCGAGTATCTAGGGAAACACCGGTACTTCCAGCAGATGCGGCGACGAATGTGGACGAGAGGCGATTGTGCCAGTGTGCGTTGGCTCACCGACTAAGCTGTGCTCTGAATCTGTTGCGGCGGTAGGGCACCACAGAAAGCACGATCTGCAGATTACATGTGGGCAGGTTGATCAAGCCGCATGATAACAAATATTCGTAGTTAAATCTGACTTTTGTGTTTGCTCTGAAGGGCTATATAAATTAAAGTCTGTAATATTGAAGAAGAAAACTGGCGCCTGTCAAATCAAAGATCGACTCGGAATTTGAGCTATTTGACCTCATGTGAAGCCCCATTACAGCCTGAAAATATTATAGATGGCGCTTGCAATCCTTTTGACCAAATCGTGCTGCGAATCATTCTAGGTTTTTCTTTGTACCAATGTACCTTTTGTATCTGTTTTATTAGTTTATCAAAAAAATTGTCTAGTGAAATGTTTTTTTAGAGAGATTTTACGCCGTTTTTAATCTAAAATATGTCAGTACTTAGGTCCCGGGTCTTTGCGGTATTTTGACTTGTCCTATCGTGTTGTTTACAAAGCATTATCCAGTCGTACAGAATCTCCCTGTCAAATTACGAGCTTGTAAAGGTTATCGAGTTCGGCATCTGGGAGAGCTAGCTACAAACGGACACGAGAATAACGCGGCAAATTTTTTAAATAATAATTAGAAGTGCTATATGTAAATAATACCTGCTCAAGTATAAAACAAAATAGCCTTATATGTTTATTCTTTTATGTCATTTCTCGCTGGACACTTTAAGGTTACTTTGAGCTAGTGCTTATCTCTCAAATATACATGGTCTTAAAGCTTCTATTTAGTAGTTCCTGATAGCGTTCGTCCGCTAAAGTACGTCGATACGCCCAAGTGACAGTCAGTAAATTCGGCTTGATTCACGAAGTTAACGTATTACACAGACTCTCTGATGTTGAGAATGACAGACATTCATCGTTCTCAAAACGTGCAGTTGCACGTTGCTTAGAGGCGCTGTTCCAGCCCGAAAGTAGATGAATAAGAGCCGATTTCTAGATTTATACGGCTCAATTATACATCTAAAAATATACTTAAATGTGTATATATATATATATGCATTGCACCTACATACAACACTTTTGGTCTATCTAGAAACCATCGTGCGTTTCAGTTTCGCTTTACTCCACAGAGAGACTCACATTCGGAACGTGTCATCACACCGCCACTGCGAAGAAACCTGAGTATGCAAGGCTCTTTCCATTATTTGGCTGGATATATGGTGATTTTTTTATAATGCATGATCGAAACGTGTTGTACATTTTTTTTACAATATTCACTACAATCAAACATTTTTATAACCTGTCCCATTTAGCGAACACAGGCACGAAATCCATTGACGGAACTACCAAGTTAACTACTTGAGTACAAGAAACTTATTCTCAAAGATTTTGGAACTGATAGATATAAAAGGACGAACAATATTATAAGGATGACAAATTAGCCCCGCTACGGAGAACCACAAATAAATATTTTACACATTAACAGTAAGAGCTTGACTCATGGCCATCTTGAACAATATCATAAAGATACTTAAGGTCGATATAATACTTTTCTGCAGAGTTTTATTAGAGAAGTATGCTTTCTTAACATGATTGTCTTCTTCACTCAAACTAAACAAACTTATGCAAAATTACACCTGAGGAATACACGGTTGTTTTTTGCAGTTCCTGAATGATGCAATACTAAACTAGCAGCGTGCATTTATTCTGTTTAGATGTATTTAAGCTTACGCATTATCATTGAAATTTCCAACTTCATCAGCATTTTCATGGATAACAACACCTCAGCTTTTCATATACAGTCCTCGCTTAGTTTGCCCCATCCGTTTCTCCGAGCCTATGAGATCCACGGGGACAACTTCCTGGGCCACCAGGTCCTCCAGGAAGTTAGCTTTCTTCCAAAAACACCAAATGCATTCATGCGGAGTTAAACGTACCTCAGCGTTCGTTGTACTTAGAGTATTGTCCTGTTCCAACAAAACCGCAAAGGCGATAGCCCCACGAGCACTTCTATAAATTGCAAATTAATGAAAGGTATTACTCTGTTAGGAGCTACACTTAACACTGCTGAGGGAAATGTCGGAGAACTCAGACATCCTTACTCGACTCAGCCTTTCAAAAACAGCCCGACTTAGCTTACCAGAAGTCCGAAGACTGCAATATTTGTTTATTTTATGCCTAGCAGTCTGCAGGACCAACACCTTGATAAACTGAGTAAAAAGCCATTTACCCAGGAATGCACCTTTGTTATCAAGTCGCTTGATATTAATGTACTTTTAGAAAACCGAGATCGTTATTTATGCTGTACAGAAACTCTGGGCTATATCTGATTTTATTTGTTCATATTTACGTAGAGCATATATAGAAGATGTGCAGTAATCAAAATGGTCTGGGAACCTTCCTATTTTAGTGAATAAATTGCCAGTCGTTGTTCCTTGATAGCTTTCAAATACATGATGATATATAGGCACTCTGCGATTTCGATGAACCTGTCGAAAAAGCTCTGGCAGAATTGGGTAATGTCCTGACCTTATCGTTATAATGACTGCTTCGTGGGTTGCTGACTAACTATTTTTTTACAGTTGATCGATACATGCAAAACATATTCTCGTCTGAGAATACGGAAACCAGCTCAAGGAAGTCGTTGACCTGGAACAACAGCGATCAAAATCAAAGTGCTTTCGGAATTGATTAAGCTTATCTTGAAGGATTCTATCGAAGAGGTACAATATTAAATATATATATATATATATATATGTATACCTAAAGATAAAGGTATAAGAAACACAAAGATAGACCATTTGAAAAAATGCTTGAGAAATCATTAATTAAAGTTTTAGCCACAAGCCGATTTTTAACAACGATAGCAAATTTAATTACCTCAGTTGATTAAATGTCGAACTAATAGCTCTATGTTATGCTGATTCGAAAATAGTCGGAAGTTGCTTTGGGTGCAATAAGGAACCGTGAGTAGAAGAAAAAAAAACAGCCTAAACAAACGTTCCGTCATAAGTTCTACAGGAAACGAGGTTTCCAGAAGCCTGACGATGCATGTAGGTGCTCCAGATGAGGAACAACTCGTACAACTTAAATGACGCAAAGTGTTTTAAATGATTGCATATACTTGTTAATATACTGTGTTATGGATTTGTGTATATGAAGCTTTTGATTACTACAAACCAAGGCGAACAATTTGATGTTGATATTTAAGAGTGATTTGGGCATTTTGAAGTATAGAAATGCTAAGAAGCCCTGCAAAACGCTCAGTAATGTTGCACAAGAAAACTGTTATACGAGTACGTCAATGCTGGTTAAACGTTTCATTGTAGGTCGGTAAACGGCTAGATTTTGAACGTTGGCGTTGAAGTTCCTGCAACGGTATTCGAAGTAAGCAGCTCGTTTGGCAGGCCTAAAAATAAACGAATAGAAACCAATTTCTAAAAGTGTAAAAAGAGCAAATCTAGGCGATTCACCTATGCGAACTCTTCGCTCTGTTTCTGCTCACTTAGAATCTAAGACGAAGACTTATTCCCAATCTGGGTTCCCTATTGGTCTAGCTCTGCGATACGAATACTACGAATTAAATTACGTTAAATTTACCGAGTTACATTTTAGTTTTGTTATACGTGCAACATTCGTGCAGAAAGTCGTGATGCGCGTAAGTAAGCAGAGTGGCAGGTTTCCTTACGAAAGGATCCGGTCTTTCTGTCACAAAACCTTAGTTAAACCTAAATTGATCTTTTCTTCTAATCCTAAATCGATTTAGCAAATGATTTGAGATGAGATAATAGTGGATGAGTAACATAGAAGTTAATCAATAGGATGATTCAGTTAATGAATCTTAATGTATCATCGTTTTGCTACAGCTTGCGAATAAGTTATAGCCACTTCTGAGTTTTTTCTTCGGAGATCTTTTTCCGGAACAGAAAAAAAAACTTCATTTATCTTAGCATAGTTGAAGATGAAAAATTTTATGCAGTGATTAGGTATACCAAATGTACATTTTGAGTCACAAAAGGCGAATGTTATTAATAACATAGTCCATTTGACAAATAGAGGGATAGTACATTGGCATTTTGCCGAGTTTGCCTTGAGTTGGTTACTTAAATGAATACTTCATCTTTAAAGGCTCTTTGAGCAGTGTACAAAATAAATAGGATTCTATTATTACTATTAGTAGTATTCATCAGTTACTCCCGTTAACTTCGCAAATAAGCTGGATGTTCTATAAAAGTTGTATAGAGAGGAAAGACCATAAGGGCAATCGTATACCTTTCTGAATTTTTAATTCTTAAGCTATTTGTAGTATTTGCTTGATTTACTCTGTTTTTATACGTGTAAAAGTTGCACTTCCCCGTTTGTTGTGTTTAAGAATATCTGACGTACTTGAAGTTTTGCGAAGATGACTCGCACCGGGACAGCTTGAACTTCGGAGCAGTACCAGGTACTGAGAGCCTGTGATCTATCTACCATCCAGTAGTGGACAATGAATCGCATTGCCTCCATTGGTCCTCTTCTGCAGTAATAGTAACAATACACTACACTTGATTATCATTATTCAGAATTAACAAATTGATTCAATGATACACGCCACTCTTTCCCGCCAGCTTGTAGTACTGTTATAAGAAAATCCGTGCTGGTAAACACTGAAGCCTAGGATGAGAATCAAGAATTAGAGATAAGATAGGAAAATCGATGCTGGGGACCCACACGTGGC